AAGCCGGCTTTGTCGATATTCACACGCCGGCGAAAGCCTTAAACATTATATCAATAATTATATGCACGTCCCGCGGCGGCGGCGGCGGCGGCGCGGCGGCGGCAGGCGGCGGCGGCGGCGCGGCGGCTGCGGCCATGAAGCACAGAGCACGCTGATGAAATAGGCGGGAGACGACCGATTCGGCTGCCGTGTGTGTTTGCGCTTGTTCATCGACGGTGATCTCACCCGCTTCTCACCTGCCTCCATCCGCCGCTGCTGCTGTGCCGCGTGCGTCGTGCGTGCGTGTGTGGGCTGTGTGTGTGTGCGTGCGTGTGTGTTGTGTGTGATGTGTGGTGTTGGTGTGTGTGCTGTTGTGTGTGGTGTGTGGATGTGTGTGAGTGTGCGTGTGTGTGTGTGTCGTGTGCCCCGTGCTGTGTGTGTGTGGTTGTGGACCCTGGTGTGTGTGTGTGTGTGCGTGCGCGTGCGCTGCGTGTGTGTGGTGTTGTGTGTGTGTGTGTGTGTGTGTGTTGTGTGATCGTGTGTGTGTGTGTCAGTGTGAGGAGGTGGAGGTGGGAAGAGTGGGGGTGATTGGCGGTACTCTGTGGAGAGACGTTGACATGTCTGCTGCGGCGAATGTGTTAGGCGTTCGCATGAACAATACCCTGAGCTGCACGCTCACGGCTCGCCCAACACGGGGCGAGCGTCGCCTGATGTGGGGGAGGGGGGGGGGCGGTAGGGTGCGTGACCAGGTATGCAGAGAGGAGGTGCGGAGAGAGGTAAAAGGCCGAGAGGTGGAAATGAAGAGGTGGCTGTTGCTTCTATCAGTGGAGGTATCCTTTGGCTACTTTGTTTGACTAGTCTGGCAATGTGCGCTTCTCTATCATCATCATCAGCAGCAGCAGCACCACCAGCAGCAGCAGCATTCATCAATCATCAGCAGCAGCCATCATCAGCAGCAGCAGCAACAGCATCGTTCATCATCAGCAGCAGCACTGGCCATCATCATCAATCATCATCATCATCATCATCATCACCACCTTTATCGATATCATCACCACCACCATTCATCATCGTTCATCATCATCATCATCGATAATCCTCTTCCTTCGCATGTCCCCGCTTCGCTTCTGTCGCCTCTTCCACACTGCCTATTAGAGCCTCAGTAGCTGTGACAGCTCGAAGGTGACGGTGCCACACCTGCTGCGATGATCAGGGTAGCGGACAGGTAACACGCCGGACAGCGCCCACCTGAATGTCGCGCGCCTCGACAATGCAATCCGTCCGTGAAGCGAGCGTTGCAAACTCGCACACTCGGTGGGAAGCCGGCGCTTTTGTCGGCCCATGTCAATACTGATATTATCATCTGTGAGCGCGCGGCCCGGTCGCGTCTCTCTCTCTCTCTCTCCTCTCTCTCCTCCCTCTCTGTCTCTCTCTCTCTCTTTTCTCTCCTCACTCTCTCTCTCTCTCTCTCTCTTCGCTCTCTCCTACTGTCTCTCTCTCTCTCTCTCTCTTTCTCCTCTCTCTCTCTCTCTCACTCTCTCTCGCGCTCCTCTCTCTCTCACTCTCTCTCCTCTCTCTCTCTCTCTCTCTCTCTCTCTCTCTCTCTACTCTGTCTCTCTCTCTCTCCTCTCTCTCTCTCTCTCTTCTCTCTTCTCTCTATATATATATATATATATATATATATATATATATATATCTCTGTCTCTCTCCCCCTCTCCCTCTCTCCCTCTCGCTCTCTTTTCTTTCCCTCTCTCTTTGTCTCCCCCTTTCTCTTTCTCACTCTTTCTCGACCACTCTATCTCTTTCTTGCTCTCGCTCTTTCTCGCGGGCTCTCTCTTCCCCCTTTCTCTCATAGGTGTGCGGGGCGTCGAGTCTATACTCGTATGAGGGAAGTCTATACTTGTATGAGGGAAGTCTATACTCGTATGAGGGGGAAGTCTATACTTGGTGTGAGGGCAGTCTATAATTGTGTGCGGTTGAAAGTCTGTAGTTTCGCAGGTGCGAAAGCATCGCGTGTAAAAAGTAGTCCCGGATCGGTATGACGTCACTTGCCATCGCGCCCCCTGTAAAAAGTAGTCCCGGATCGTATGACGTCACTGCTCGCGTGCTAAAAAGTCAGGTATTTTTCCGGATCGTATGACCGTCACTGCATCGCGCGTAAAAAGTAGCGCCGGATTCGTGTCACGCCGTCACACGACGTTGAAAAAAGTAGCGCCGGATCGTGTCACGCCGTCACACGACGTTGAAAAAAGTAGCGCCGGATCGTGTTTCTTCACCCCGCCGCCGACGAAATAGTCGCCGCGCCGCTTGACGTTCATCGCCTTGGCAAACAATAGCGCAGCGTAATCGAGCCTTAGCAACGCTTTCTACTCACACGAACGCCGACCGTCAAACGTCCGTCTCTCTCTCTCTGTCTGCTTCTCTTCCTATGTCGGTCTCTCTCTCTTCCTCTTCTTTCTCTCTCTCTCTCTCTTCTCTTCTCTCTCCCCTTCTCTCCTTCTCTCTCTCTCTCTCTCCCTCTCCTCCCTCTTTCTCTCTCTCTCTCTTCTCCCTCTCTCTTTCTCTTCTCTCTCTCTCTCTCCCTCCCTATCTTCTCTCTCTCTCTCGCTCTCTCTCTCTCTCTCTCTGCTCTCTCTCCTTCTTCTCTCTCTCTCTCTCTCTCTCTCTCTCTCTGCCTTCTCTCTCTCTCTCGTGTCAAACAACGGTGAATATGAGAAAATTGAAACCCTACGAACAAAATGATACGAGCACGGTTAAACCGCCAGCAGCGCGGCGGTGAGGTAATCTAATCTCACCCAGCGGCAGCGGGCGACGGTTAGAATGCGCAGTATAGATGGACAGGGCTGCGGAAGGTCGATATAGTGCTTGCGCTCGTCTGGTGTGGCGTAGCTACGGCGGCTGTCGCTACCGGTCGCTACCGGGGATGGAAACAGACACCGGAGTCAATCAACCTGCACATAGGAAAGCAATGAAACACTGTTGCCGGAGAAACAGAGCAGACCGCGTATGTAATTACCGCATGTCCGGTCCTGCTACCTGAGACGCAATACCTGGGTGCTATACCTGCGTGGTATACCTAAGCCCTCTACCATCCTGCGTTCTTCATTTACCTGGGCTCTCTACCTGGTTGCTATTACCTGGCGCTCATTACCTGGGCTGCCTATTACCTGGGTGCTATACCTGGGCTTGCCTATACCTGGCGCTAATACCTGGCGCTATACCTGAGTGCCTATTACCTGGCGCTTATACCTGGGTGCTATACCTGGCGCTCAGGAGAATTCGTCCCCAATTAGCAGATAATTTGCGTCGCGCAAATTAGTGCTGATATTACGCTCTAATCGTTTGCGCCAATTCTCCCCCTCGTCCGTATCCATCAATTTACGGTCGTGCGCGCGGGGATGGGCGGGCGCAGGCCGCGCTGGGGGGGTGGGGTTAGCGGATGCGGAGTGGAGATGGAGTGGAGGTGGGGGTGGGGTGGGCTGGGGAGAGATGAGGTAAGGTGGGGAGAAGGGTTGGGTGTGGGTGGGGTGGTTAGCTGAGGTAGGGTGAAACGAGGGGTTGGGTGTGGGTGGGGTGGTTAGCTGAGGTAGGGTGGGGCGAGTGGTTGGGTGTGGCTGGGGTGGTTAGCTGAGGTAGGGTGGGGCGAGGTGTGGAGGTGTTTGTGGAGTGCGAGGATGCCCCACCACCACTCACTCATGCCCCACGACATGCCGATTAAAAAGGCGTTGAAGCATCACATATAATTCCCTTCCGCGGAATATCTCGCGAATTTCTGTTATTCCTCGCCTATGCACAGAACACCGTACGCGTTTTGATCGGCATTGAAAACACACACTTAATTTCTGGCGGCAGCGGCGGCGGCGGTGGCGGCGGCGGTGGTGGCGGCAGAGGGAGAAGGGAGGGAGGGGTGATTCGGGCAGCGACGACAGCCAATGGCGGCCCCGGAATCATTCATGTACGTCGGCACGGAAAGAGCGCGCCACCGCTATTGTTCGACTGTCGGCTGGCGACAATGTCGGCGACGCGCGCGCCGCGTAGGGGGAGGTGTCGGTTTGACTAGTGGAGCGGGGCGCCGGGAGGGGGAGAGAGAGAAAGTGTGAGAGATGGTGGGAGTGATGGAGAGCACGACGAGGGATAGTGGTGACATATCAAGCGTCGAGACGGAAACTTACCGGCCGCTGACATATCGCTATTATTATTACAGCGAATATATATATATGTATATATATTGATTGAATATATTATATATTTATTTATATATTATATATATATATATATATATATACATATACAGCAGTAGCGACTCGAAGGGATGGTTGTGCGAGCAAATACACACACGCACGCACTTAAGCACGCACGCAGACGTACGCACGCACGGCACGTACGCACGCACACACACACACACACCTGCTGAGCGTAAGTCGCACACACCCAGCCAATTTGCGCCTCAATTTCAGTGAATTATAAACGGCCGACATTGTGAAGAAGTGCCGCAACAATAATACTGCCCGCCCCCCGCCGCTGATGCTGCTGCTGGCATAATTATATGCATCACGCCCGAGCACCTGATGCGTGTAGTAGTAGAAGTTGTTGTTGTAGTTGTCACATAAATCAGATGCATGACATAGACGAATTTATGTACTTCTCGAGTAATTGCGCATGCACGTATATATAGTAAACGACAGTGTTTATANCTCTCTCTCTCTCTCTCTCTCTCTCTCTCTCTCTCTCTCTCTTTCTCTCTCTCTCTCTCTCCTCTCGCTTGTTGTGTAATGATGTACTTATTTTGAACGCTCGTTAGATGCGTGCACTTGAGAGCGTGGTGTTCATTTTTACGAGCTCGTAAACTCTAGTTATGCGTTCATAGAATTGTGTTCGTTTAATTGCATTTTTAGCATTTTTTATAGGCATGCTTTAAGGCATAATTTTAGCACGTTTTAATCACGTTTTAAGCATGTTTTGAGCATGCTATTACGCAACGTTTTTAGCATGTTCTAGTTATTATAACTCGAGGTTATGTG